TTTTCAGAAAACACCGAAACCATTCATGTCTCACGGCCGTGTTTCTCTACTTACTGGTTGCCAGAGGGAGCCACAAAATTGATATTTTACAGCTCGTGCGACATAAATAGTTTCCTGTCTCGAACTGGATTGAGCGGCAAATGCGCTCTGGTTTGAAGTTTTTGATATTTTCCTCGCAATTTGTGAGCCATGGAAAGTGTGTAGTCGTGACATGTGAAAGTGGATGTAATTTCATAAAGTCCGAGAGTACTCGGAAAGTTACAACTTAAAAGTGTAGCATTTAAAGTAAACTATTGGAGCAGTGGTTAGACGGTTTCTTCTACCTCCCTTGTTCTCATCTTGCTTCCCATTTTTCACCCGACCATGTACAGCTGTTGTTAATGAGAGATGCAGTTTTTAAGGATCTAAGTCAGCTGACTTCTTGTAGCAGTGAATTAATTGCAGCTGGCAAGTCTGCAGTGGGGAGTGATACCAAACCTGTAACAACCCAATAATCTAGGATGCAGACAAAAGAGTGAAAACATACTTTCCTATACAGATCGCATATATAGAGCTTTTGAAATATTTACATGCAGAAAGGATGGGGAACATATTTTACAGTTTTCTTCTGTCCCCTAGGCTAGGTGTCTTTTGTTTTGCCATGGGCCTGTGTATCAGAGTGAACTAAAATAATGTCCAAAGGTACTGTTAATAGTCGTCTTTATTAACTGTCCTGTTCTGATAGTGGGTTTGATATTACATATCAAAATCCTGGAAAAAAAAAAATCTGCTTTCCATGTTCTCACAGACTTCTTATTCAAAATTAATTTTTTTTGTTCTATTGGAGTCTGTTAGCTGTGAAAGAGTGTAAATAGCTGGGAGGGAATGGAGGCATGATCTCGAATTTCCTTACTTTGGGGATCATGGTAGATCACTTGGAAGAAATATCCATGGTCATCTTTGTTGCTAAATATACATATAAATATATAATAATAATGAAAAATAAATAAAAATAGATCGTTCTTTTTACCAACAGTTGTGTCTTTGTGATGTTTGGTTTACTTTCTGAAACAAATCATAGAACTCAATAAATAAAGTCAAATAACCTGTTGTTGTTGGAACCAGTCATTCAAATATAAACTAATGACTTGTTTTGTAAGTACTGGAGGTGAAACAGGTACTAATTGTTATTTATGTTTGGGAGCAGG